TAATAGTAGTTGTTATTACATTACGTTATATTATAGGTACAAGTCGTTTGGGTTCACGGTCATTCCTAAGTGTGATTTCCTCGCTTATTTGCCGAGAAGCAGTGCGAGCTTAATCGAGAATATTATGGACACATTTTTTCACTTTACAAATTGAACCAAAGCACCGGTGGTGCTTAATCAAGAGATAACGCCCGAGAAATGTATGACATTAATCACAGACAATGTTCCTGTTGGAATATAACGCCAAACATTTTGAAACGCGGTAGCTCATTTTCATCCAAATTAATTAGCTGTATATGTGGGCACTGGGCATCCATTCAAGTTTTTGTCTAATGAAAATCACGAGCAATTTTTCTTGTAAAAATACTACCGGAAGGCGTGGTCTAGCATAGGTCTAGGTCATACTGTAGCACCAGTTCAATTTTGTTTCCTTCCATTTCGATAAATATTAGTGGAGTAACCCGTCTCATCCCTCTTTTCCTAATTGCTACCCACCCGCCCTATTTTATATCCGATTCCTATAAGATGGTCTTCCGCCTTACTTTCCGGCTTTGCACGGAAGTGTAGGTGGTAAGGACTGGGCGCATTGGTAGATACTAGATTGTAGATTACTCTGAATTACTGAGGATTCGCTTTGATACCATGAATCATTTTGGCTTTAAATATTCTAGATCTATTTCTGTAATAAATCAATGTTTCGAATCTGAAGGTTTGTCGCAAATTAATGTTTGTTTTGTCTGTGAAATCTGAAATATAATAGCACTTTTCTTATGCAATGGGCAATATTCGTATTTAGTCATGTCTTTAGTTACGTCCACTTCCACTTCTTGTTAGCACCAGTGTATTAACATGAATTTGTAGGTAAAATATGCGGTTCATATTGACTCATCACCATCAGTGGTCATAGATGGGATCGCCGGCTTCTATGGCAAGTACGTTGCCTTTGAAGCCATAAGTTCCGGGTTCAAGTAAATAATACTTTCCGGCCATTCTCCTTGAATTGGCGATGGCAAATTCACACTAAAAGTAGTCAGCATCAAAAGCCCATTTTATTTGTTTTCTTGATGTTTCACGTTGATGGATTAAATTACTTTTTCTCCATCAAATAAATGCTAGATACAGATATCGGCTGCTTTCTCGATTTATTCTCGTTGAAATGTTTCTCTCTGGATAAGTTAGAGGGATTTTAGATTTGAACCTAAATGAGAAAGAAAAATAACAATCTGACATTTCAACTGGATCATTTTTACTAACATCTCTCTCTCGATAATATAGAGGAGTTGTGAATGTCTGTAAGTGAGAAAAAATAATCAACTATAGGATGTTTTATGCTAGGATTTTCTGATGGTCTAGATGTGTCTTTATTTGTTATTGTTATTATGCACAAACTCATTAAAAAAATTTGAACTCACTTGTAAAAATCCACGATTCGTTTCTTCTATGATAGACTTCATTTAGAATCCTATCATTTCGCAGACTGTAGCCGTTAGGATTTTGGGTTTGTACTGCGCCATGTTTTGTCCTAGATCCTAGATCACATAGGGCATCATGTGGGCGATCTGAAACAAGAAAAAAAAACGAAATTTTTTTATTTTGAAAATTTCTAGGGGTTGTTTTTGTAAATCACATCTGATGCGGGGCCTAGTTAGTGCTGGTACGCTTTGTTGGTAAAGGTATCGAATTATAATGAAAACACGGCCCGCTCAGGGTCGCTATAAAACGAAACTGTCTATTAAGTTCACCGTAATGAGGTTGTTATGACCTCTTAGGCGGCGAAACTCGACCAATGTTACCTTTGCAAAAGGTAACTGCTTCTACACACACATACATACATGTCTGTCTGTCTGTAGGGAGTGCACGGCCCGATGATGCTACGCCGATGTTGCAGTCGCGCTGCAGCGAACGTTGCATCTCCCTTTTGTTCTTTTGTGGCCACGCTTGAACTCCAACGGAGGTCAATCGACGCGAAGCTTTCGACTCGAATTCCCTCTTTTGTTCCGAAACAAAAAACGAAGAATTTTCGATTATTTTTCAAACACGCAGACACCGGACATTCAATAAATAAAACAACATCTGTATTGTTGGTCGTTGTCCTTTTTTTATTTATTTTGCTTCTTTTTTTTTTTTTTCATTAATTTATCGGATAATTTGATCGCCATCTTATATTATATTATATATACATATGCCGATGTGTATGTGTGTGTGTGGTGTGATTTATCCTTCGATGCATTAATAATTGTAAGAGACGTTTTATTCTGTCAAGGTTGCCAATTTCGAGGCTCTTTGCGATGATATAAGACTAAGAATTACAATAAATAACAAAGAAAATCCTTGTACAATTTCATAAATTGTATTATGTATTTGAAAAGCTTTCCGAACTTCATTAACACTCAAGTTCTTTGGCGAAGGATGTACTGTTTCCAATTTTTGTCATTTATAAGACAATCCAGGCTAAGGGTCATTAAAATGTTTCTATATTTATAACAATTAGCAGTATTGTCTTATAAATAAATGATATATGAACCATC